GTGATCTTTCTTCCAGGACACTTGTGAAAATGTTAAGATTGACGGATTGACTCCATTTGTTTTTAATTAAAGTTTATTGGGTGACAATTGTTACTACATCGGTTTAGTGGTTACCAGAGGGGAAGGGGGAAGGGGGGTGGTAGATGATTCCATTTTGAGTTTCCTTATTGTCAACTATTTCATCCATGGGGGGGTGGGAGGGGACTCATCATTTGTAGAGCATTTTTAATTTTTCAAGGGATTGTACAACTGTTGCCTCTGTTTATTCCTTAGAAATCTGTAGAAAGGAGTGTTCTGATTTGAAAATTGAGGAAAACTCAAGCATAGAACAATCTGAGCTGTCTCACTTAAGGTCATCCAGTCACTGACCAACCTTGGATTAGAATCCTTTATACTTCCCTCTTTCTAGAGTACCATATTAATCCCTTTCATTTGTTTCTCAATCCTGCAGCAACTTAATTAAAAGAAATGAAAGTGATTAATAAATGAAAGAAAGCCCTTAGTAAATGACCTTAGCAAAATGTTTTTAGAAAAGACTAAATCTGTTGACCTCTTCAAAGAAACAATTGTAGCTGATCAAACAAACATGATTTTCTCAAACTAGTTTTTCCATCACGGCCTTCCCCTTATCATTTGCATTTAATGTTCCTACAATTGATTTTCTTGTCTAACTGCTTGTTTAGTGTAGAGTTTCGAGGATCAGCTTCACCTCTGGGGCTCTTACCCAGAGATGAGTCACATTGACAGTTTTCATTGTGTCTGGGAAATTGGCAGCATGTGATGCCAAGCACATCCCGGTTGCCTGAGAAGGTGGCAGACAGCTCTGGGCTCCCTGCTGCAGGAAGATGGGAGTCTCTGGTTTTCTGGGGGTCAGTGAGAACAGCCTTGTACTAATCTACCACGTTGCCTGTGGCTAGACTGCAGGGACACGGGACCTTCCAGATGACTTCTCAGTGTATACTTCCTTAAGGCTGTTGATTCTTCTCTTCCAGAGCCTAGAAGGAGGCTCATACCGGGGAAGCTTGAAAGACCCTGCAGGCTGCCTGAATGAGGGGATGACTCCACCCACACCTACTAGAAACCTGGAAGAAGAGCAGAAAGCCAAGGCCCTGAGAGGCAGGATGTAAGTGGCTTCCCCAGATTTGACCCTGGTGCATGTGTGTGCAGCGGACGATGGGCAAAGGTTGCGGGAAGTTTGGGGAGAATTAGAGAATTAGATCCTTCAAGGGAAGAGATGTCAGGTCCACTAGCAGCACCTAGTCCAATCCCCTTCCCTAGAGGCTGGAAAGCCGAAGGCAGGCCTCCATCTTTCAGTAGATAACTCAGGATAAAAATGTCACCTGGTGACAGAGAGCCAGACTTCATCTCCAGAGGGCCCTTCCAGCCCCAAATGCACACTCTAACTTGCCTGTGGGTTTTCTTTTACCACTTTCTTCCAAGCAGTAACTTAGGCTGAGCTAAGGATATATTTAAATGCTTTTATTTGGCCTTGCCAGTTCCTTCCTGTGGCCTACGACACATGATTGTGTGTGCTAGCGGGAGGGAGCTGGTCAGCAGTGCTGGGCATGCTGATAAAGAAGCATGTGTTCCTCTGGCTTCCTCCCCATGTCCCCGAGGCCCCAGACCCAGGGATTTGGTGGCTTCTCTGTGCTGTATAGATGAAGAGCTGCAGATGAATTGCTTCCTGGGTTCAGAACGTTTACAACCATTGTGCTGGGGCCCCTCTTTGACATCTCAGCACTTTATCCCTTCTGCTACATGGGCCAAAAATGCAGTTGTGTGGCTGCAAGCAAAACCCTTTCCAACTTAGATGATACGCGTCAGACTCTAGTACTATACATAGCACCTAGCCTATCCCCATGTACAGCCGTGAGTATTTTGTATCCAGCTCTTTACTGTCCGGACAGAAAGAGAAGTGTTTGGGTTTGGTGCTTCACGGACTCCAGAGAGCCGGTCTGAGTAGTTTCCCAGGCAGCGGGCCACAGTGAAAGAGCAGACTCCTTGGACTCTTGTACAACCGGGTTCAAATCTCAACTCTGCTACTCACTTTGTCCTCTTGGGCATCCTGCCTGAGGGTTTTCATCTATGTACAATAGGGCTTACAATACCTACCTTGTAATAAGCATGAGAAAACCGCAATGAAGCAACTGGCACAAAGTAAATACTCCAAGAGGAAGAAATCATTAACAAGAAAGAAACCAAGAAAAGCACATGTCCTTGGAGTTGTTAAATCCCACATCTGGTGGGGGTGGGGAGGTTGCCCATTCAAAGCTGTGATTCTGAAATGTCTGCAGTCTTGCTGGCCTTCACTGGGGGCTTTGCAGGCCAGTTACCATGGATACCCAGCTGAATAAGGGTAGTTTCTGTATCTCAAAGCTTCATTTGATGTCTGGTATCTCTGAAGCCTCAAAGGTTGGCTATCAAACAAATTTGTCTTTCTCCTCTTGCCAAGTGAAGAATGGAGCTAAAATTAAGGAAGAAACGTCTCATGTTGATCCCGTGGCCTCCAAGCTTTCATAACACAGTTTTGCCTAAGTGGTTGTCATTCCTTCTGCCCATCCCACTGTTCATACCAGTGTTCAGTTACAGGTGAGGGAGGAAGGAGCATAACGAATAAAGAAAGCTGGGCTGTGAGCTGCGTTCTTCATTTAAGTATCGTGTGCCATCTGGGAAAAAGCCCTCTTGGCCTTGGTGCCCTCAGCAATTCAGTGGGGGCCTCTTGTAGAGAGAGCACCTTCCTGATGAGTGCCAAGGGTGGGCGGGCTTTGGGTGGTCTTAAAGCTGCCAGAGTAACTTTCCCGTAAACTTCAGTGTGGAGATTTCTTGCTTCACTGTGAAGAGGAACGCTGATCGTTTTTAATCTCCTGCTCAGGTTTGTCCTGAATGAACTGGTACAGACAGAGAAAGACTACGTCAAGGATCTGGGAATTGTGGTGGAGGTGAGTAGATGGCTCAGGGTGGGTCTGTGGGCACCCAACGGGGGGCGTACCGGGCCCTACCTGGGCCAAGGTGCTTTAACTTGAGGATATGTATTTTACTCTCTCGGTATTTGCGGGAATGAAACTAAAAATGGTAATAGATCAAATAGAATATGTAGGTAAGGTTTTTTGTTTTTCTTTTCCCCTTGAAATATTCTAAGAGATTTAGAGGGAGGTAGGGCCCCAAATGTTGTAGCTGCTTGGTGAGAGCTACCGACAGGACAGCCGAAGAAAAAAAACACCAATAAGGCAAGATTGATGGGCCTACAGTTCAGAGTCAGCTTAGTAGTAAATAAAACAGCTCTCTCTCCATAGGAGTTTACTTTAGTGGGATTTAGACACTTGGATAAGAAAATCTGAGAAAGTAAATAGATAATTTACATGGCTTAGAGCCCTGCTGTTAAACACCTTAGTCAAAAGAACGTGAAGTCTAAAAATTGTCTGATATCTGAATCACCCGCTAGTTCCTCACGTGGGACCTACAGGTCCCCATCCTATGAAAACTGCTGACTTAGGGTTTGTATTCGCTTATCCTGAACCTTGAATAAAAGGACTAACCTGGCATATAGAGGAGCTGAACTCTACCTTCTGAAAAGTTATTCTCTTCTCCAAGGAAGGATGGGGCAGGCAGGGGTATGGTCACCTCCATCTGCAGTCAGCCCACATGTAGAGGGCTTGGAAATGTGGAGGCTGAGATCCAGGCAAGTCAGACCTCGGGGGCGTGACTATAAGACAAATCGTATAACTCCCGAGTGCCTTGGCTTTCTCATCTGTCAGATGGCGATAAATGCTGCCTGTGCCACCTCAAAACTAGGCTTTCAAGATGAACTGAGATTATATGTGGTAGCATTTTACCGAGTCTGATGTATTAACATATTAAGACTTATGTCTAAGCCAGATGTGTCTAGTTCTGAGTGTTTAAGGTATATGACTTGGATTGGGAGAAGGAAAGGGGGCAGGCAGGTAATTGTTTTCTTCTTTCTTCTGCTTTCCTTTTTTTTATTTTTTATTGGGGACAGCCATGGTCATTGGTTACACATTGCTTTCATGCTACAATGGCATAGTTGACTCTTTAAAGAGGGCGCAGCTCACAATGGCCCATGCAGGGATCAAACCAGCAACGTTGGTGTTATCAGCACCACGCTCTAACCAACTGAGCTAACCCGTCACCCCTCTTCTGCTTTCTTAAGGGGGCTGGAGACAAAGAAAGAGACCCAGAATGTCATAAAAGTTTTGTCTGTCTCTCTGCACAAGGGTAAAGTCCTGGTTGAATAGTGAGAACCCACAGAAGCGCTTGCCCTTGAACTCATGCAGAGAGTGGGCGCATGCACAGGGCTGCTGTGTGGGGCTCAGCCCACAAAGCTTTCTCATGACAATGCTCCACTCACCATTGCCTCTGCTCTCCAGGGCTTCATGAAGAGAATAGAAGAAAAGGGTGTCCCCGAGGACATGCGAGGAAAGGATAAAATCGTGTTTGGAAATATTCACCAGATTTATGACTGGCATAAGGAGTAAGTGCTATGTTGTCCCGAGGATCGGGGCGTGCTGGGAATCCCTCCCCCTGCCTCTGACCTTAGGGGTAGGGTTTGAGGCGAGTCTTCTGTCATTTATCTCAGCCTTGAAAAATAAATAATAGCCCAGTGCTGAGGAATGTGGCTTCTTTCTCTTATCCCCTCCCTCCTTTTAGTTTTTTCCTGGCTGAACTGGAAAAATGTATCCAGGAGCAAGAGAGATTGGCACAACTCTTCATTAAACATGTGAGTGTTCCCTTGCTCCCCTCCCACCGGGCTCATTCACGTGCGTTTTATAATTCCTTCTCTCCTCTGCTCTTCCTTCTCATGCTTCTCCAAGTTGTTGCTTTTTAACTTTCTGGGCAGTTTGGACGATGGGCTCTTGCTGCTGTATTTACTCTTTTGTCCTTGATGTTTTACCGCCGTGGTGCCATCCCCCCAACGTGGACCCTATCCTGGCCCTTCTCCCTGTGTGTAGCCCAGCCCAGCACCCATAGACTCTGAGACCAAGCCGGAGGTGCCTGAGTGCCTTTCCTTCTGCCTTTGCAGGAGCGGAAGCTGCACATCTACGTGTGGTACTGCCAGAATAAGCCGCGCTCAGAGTACATCGTGGCAGAGTACGATGGCTACTTTGAAGTAAGCTGCTTGGTCTTTTTTGCTGAACTGGAGTTGTGGGGCGGGTAGTGAGGAGGGGAGAATCTCAGGTCAAGACAGACACGTTCAGAAACCCCAGCCATCATCCATCCACAGGTGGCCCCCACACAACACTTTAGTGACCCCTTCCAGACAGGGATAGCTGCCTCAACAGAGCCATGAGCTTCTTAGCTAAACTCTCCTAAGGCTCTTTGCTGGAGAGAAGGTGAGGTGGCCTGGTGTGTGGACTGCTTTCCGAAGCCTTGTGCAGAGTGACTCTGACCCAGAGACTGCTTTAGAAGCTCCGGTCCGCCTTACACGGCCCCAGAGCAGACCATGCCCACACTCTTCCTCACCCAACCCTGGAGACTGCTTGCTCAGGACCCTCCTCCTTCGTGAGGTGCTTGCAGTCACCTCATAGTCTCTGCTTCGGTTCCCAGAGGTTCTTCTGTCAAGCACCTCAGAATGTTTGTTCTGCCCCACCCTGCGAGGGGTTATTTGAGGAGAGACAACACCATTGGCTGGAGAGAGCCCTCAATGGAGTGTTTGCAGATCTGAGTAGAAGGCACCCCAGGCTTGATGTGTCCTAGGGGAGCCCTTCATTCCTGACGTGGCCCTGGGGTGGGTGAGAGAACAGAATATCTATTCCAGTTTGTTCCCCAGGACTGGGGTGAGGACACATGGTGTGACACTGCTTGACGTGCAGGTGATAATATGTGTCACTTGCGGTTAATAACAAATTAGCAGTTGTGTAGTACCTCTCTCATGACTTGAAGAGTCTGAAACTTTATTGGCAAACATAACGACTTGTCTTCCCTGCCTTGAACCCGGATCCAGAGCACCCCAATTCTTTGGTTCCTTTTTTCTAACATCGCTCCTTTGTGTTCCAGGAGGTGAAACAGGAGATAAATCAAAGGCTGACGCTTAGTGACTTCCTTATCAAGCCCATTCAGAGAATAACAAAATATCAGTTGCTCCTCAAGGTAAGAGAGCAGAGAGCCCAGGTCAAGGCCAGAGAGGGGTCTTCACAGGCTCTGAGTCAGCAAGCAGGTTAGCTTGAGGCTCTGTCTCCACAACACTCCCTGTGGACTAACGGGGGGCACCTGTGGGCTTTTATTTTATCTGTTGGTTACTTGCGTCAGCTTTGCCCCCAAATAAATTGCATGTCTGTTGCCCCTGCCTTTAAGGTTGGTTGTTATTTCATTTTCTTTTTTTCAATTCACTTTCTTACTTTGTTACCATCACTGACTTCGTACTTTTAAAAAATAAAAAATAATAAGAGCATAAAATCAGAGCGGGTAGCAAGGAAAAAGATAAGGAAAGGCCTTAGAAACTAAAATTAGATCAATTTTACTTTTTAAAATGGTTTAATTTAATTGGTCTTACAGAAATTTGAGGTAAATGAAAGAGATTTAACTTCCGTTTCTCCCATCCCTATTGCTCATAATCCCCTTTTCTTCTCTATTCACACACTTTCTTTTTTTCCTCCCTCTGTCCGTTTTCTCATAGTTTTGAATTTTTGAATATCCTGGGGGGTTGCTCTCAGTTATTATGTCCAATATGACTCATAACTTGATATCTCAACTATTACAAAGCATTGCCATCTCTGTTGGGAAGGAAAGTCCGGGTGTTATCACGGTTTGTGTGATACTAAGTTTTTTATAGTACTCTGGCTGTTTTCCTAACTGATTTCACCCTCCCCACACCCTTCCCTGTTTCCCTGACTTGCTAGGACTTCCTGAGATACAGCGAGAAGGCTGGTTTGGAGTGTTCAGATATCGAGGTGAGTTTTCTGCCTGTAATGCTGACTGTTCTTAGGGACAATATTGGATGTCTGTCTCTAAAGGGGAAAGATTGTGTCTGGAGGGCAGAGGGTCCAGGCTGCCTCTTCTAAGATAGGAAGAGCCCCTTGCAAAGAGCTGCTCAGCAGGATGAGGAATGATGAATATTAATGAACACACTGAGTATTTTTCTAGAACTTGAGAATTCTGTCCTGGGCCAGACCAAAGCTTAGGCCCACTGGTATTCTCCTTGTGGCTGCCAGTGAGACGTGGTGGGAAAGGATGATATTTGAGCCCTCTAACATTCTTTAGAGACTGGCTGTTTCAATGTGCAATTTTATCCACGAATCCAGGTACTATTTGAGTCTAACATATGAAGTTTTCCATTTTTACTCCCTTCCCCATCCCCAAAGATTACTCCCTCAGTGAAGCCCTTTGAGACAATGCCACCATGGGAATTATTTTAAGCCAGAAAGGCTACAGACCATGCTGGCAGGTTATTTTAGGTTAAAATCTCTAGCGTTTCACAAGCCAGGCTAAGCTGCTGCTTGGGCAGCCAGAAAGCAACAGAGAGAAGAAAGACATACGAGTAGGAAAGAGAATCGATCAACAAAAAGGGGAAGGTAGGAAAAGGATGGGCTGAGGAGCATTCTCCCTTCTCATGGTCACTGATTCTCGTGGAGCCTCTGCACCGATGACCACCACCCTCCTACCTGGAACAGACAACCCCACACTCCTGTGGGAGTGGGCAGTAGGGACCAGTGTTCTTTCCTAGAATCAGGGAGCTACCAGGAGGTCCCTATCTTCCAGCACAAATTGCCCCGAGCTTCCTGCCCTGGTGCTGTTCCCCCTCCTGAGCTGTTATTGTTCTTTCCCACAGAAAGCAGTGGAGTTAATGTGCCTTGTCCCAAAACGCTGCAATGACATGATGAATCTGGGACGCCTGCAGGGCTTTGAGGTGAGCCCTGAAGAATTCTCTGAAGCCCTCTCCCTTCTGGGCAGCAAGTGCCCCGGCTGTGAGACACCTTCCCTTTGAAGCCCTGTGCCTGCCTCCTCTGCCTCCCTTCACTCACCATCTGCTCCTTTATGCTGGGGCCCATCCGGTTCACAGGCCTAGAAGACACATCTATTTACAATATCCAGTGGTAGGAAAGTCATAGGAAGTTACAGCACAGTCAACCAAGCTGGAGAAAGAACTCCAAGGGGGATGGAAAGACCCAAAATTCTTTATACTTGTTGACCTGGCAATGACCTCTTGCCTCTTCTTTCTTCCTCGAGAAATGCTGGGAATGTGAGAGAGAACAGGGCTGTGTGATAGAAGTAAAACCAGAGGGAAAGAGGAACAGTTTTTTTGAGAGGATGGTTCTAATACACAGGTCTATATTAGCGGCTGACTTTTTAATTAACTGAACGTTTGAAGCTCTAAGACATCAACAGGGCACATCTCTGTTCTTTGAAGAGGACAGTTGTGTCTTAGGAGAAATCTTGGGCTGTCAGAAAAGTCATGACATATTTCTTCTATGTTTTTCGTTGCAAAAATGCATCATGACTTTTCCGACAACCCAATAGATAGATGTCTCCAGGATTTTGGTTTCAGTGAAGGTACTAGTTTGGTAGGGTCACCATAACAAAGTGCCACAGACTGGGTGGCTTAAAAAATAGACATCTATCATATCTCATTTCTATAAGCTACAAATCCAAAACCAAGGCATAGGCAAGGGTGGTTCCTTCTGAGGGCTGTGAGGGAAGGATCTGTTCAGGCCTCTCTCCTTACCTTGTAGATGGCCATCTTCTTGTTCACATGGCATTCTTCCTATATCTTCACATCATCTTCCCTCTGTACATATCTCTGTGTCCAAATTTCCCACTTTTATAAATAAAGGACACCAGTCATACTCAACTAGGGATCTCCGTAATGATCTCATTTTAACTTGATTCCCTTTGTGAGGACCCATCTCCCAATAAGATCACATTCTGAAGTCCTGGGGTTGAGACTGCAACATATGAATTGGAGGGGGATACAGTTCAACCCATAAGAGTGAATCTTTGAAAAGCACATTAACTTTTCTAATTTCAACTTAATAGGTGGCTGTTATTAGTGTATATCCAAGCCTCCTATATTAACTAAACATAAACTGTTTTGAATATTCATAGGATAAAATTGGAACTGATACAATTGTTGACTGGTACGCAGTTGCTGTTGAGCCTCTACAGAAAGATGTGAATCTCCTAGTCCTGTTTCCCATTAACCCTGCAGCCTAAGATTTCATTATTCCTCTTTGGATAAAAGGGATTCCTGGAAGTTGAGATGATGAAGAAAGTAATAGCCCTTTTTTATTTTTCTTTTTTTCTGGCTAAACTAGAAGAGATGGAATAGAATAGATGAAAGACAGACTGATACATAAGTAAATTTAGGAGATGTTATATTCAGGTTTGGGTTATTGAGTTAGAGTCATGGATTTCTTGAGCCAAATTCTTGTGTCTTCCTTGCCCTTCCAGCCTACCCTGGTGTCCCTGTCTGATTTCCATTGCTTTGTTGTGACCAGGAAGTACATGGAAGGTCTTTGCTGTTCATTTCCTTTTTCATAGGTTCCCAGTTCTCAACCATAGACAGGAGGCATGAGCGTAAGCAGGGTAATGCAGCAGAAACATACCCTGAGTTCTTAAACGGTGTGTCTTTAGTCATACCAGATGAAGTTTTACACTTTTCCCTTGGAGTTATGTCAGGTCTGAGGCTATTCTGAATAAGCCAAGTAATCCCTTTTGCTCTTAAACCTTGATGTCCCTATATTTTCTGAGCAGACTGTGGCTTGACCTTTTCTTGGTCCCTGGAGGAACTGACTGCTGGCAGGAGGAATGGCATCTGATTGTGCTGTCCAAAACTCAAGTTAGACTTCACAGGAACTGTGAAGTGTGTGTGTGTGTGTCTGTGAACGGCCACACACATGAGCATGGAATTATTTTCTCTTTTAAATCAAGCACCACCATTTCCTTTTTTCATCAAACCCCAGGAAATCTGCTTTTTATTCTTTCAGCTAGTTGGGCAGGATCATGAAGTTACCTCCATGCCTTCTGAAGTTCCAGAGCTATGGGCCAGGGAGAAGGTAGCCCCTTCACTTACATGCCCCCCGCTTTAAACCCTCCAGCTTTCCCTTTAGCATTGGCAGGGCTCTAACCCATGCTCTTATGTAATATTAATAGAGCTTTTAGAGCTTTCCTGGCTAGCGGTTCACTGGCTTAATATTAACTTTGGACCAGGGTAGAGATAAGCCTGTTCGGCTGCTGACCTTGACAGTAAGGAACCATGATCCAAGCAGAGGGCAGGTGTTTCTCGGGAACATGAAAGAAAAATGACCCATGTGCTGGATAATGTTTGCAATATGGCATCACATGCAGAAATTGGCCCACATTTGCACTGAAGGGCAAAAGTCGTCACCTGAGAGAGTACAGTTCAGAGGAGGTCCTCTGGCTGCTGTCTCAGATGTCAGCATCTTGTCACAGAACAATAGAAAAAGCTATTGTTTTTCTATTAGCTTTATAAATGCTATTTATAAAGACTTGCATTTATAAAGACTTGCAGGGTTGGGCCATATTCTCTTTGAAAATGTGAAGATGTCTCTGAAAATCTGGTTAGAAACTGGCAAGCCAAATAGGCTCTACCTCCTATGCTGGGTGTCAAGTGGCCTGGTAGCTGGAGGTGTTTTAAGAAGGATCACAGGACGCAGAAAAATATCTACCAGCTTATATAATATGGGCACCTATCTATGGTACCCCAACTTTACCTGTTGATCTGTAGCAGGAGACTAAGACTTCAGAATTTCTTCATCCTGAAATAATAAGAGAAGAAAGGAGAGGCCCAATTCATCAGATTACTTGTGGTCCTACCTACGTCACTTCTCTCAGCCATGGTTGGTGCTAGGTTCATGGGCACGAGAGGACTCCAGGTTCTTGGCTCTTGCACCAAGGGAGCCAGGTAGGCATGCTTCTCAGAGCTCCAAAGACAGAACTTCTAGCTCCAAGTGTCACCTACTTTCTGTTCTCCTAATAAAAACCAAGAAAGGCAGGATAATTTCTGAACATCTTTCTGGCTAATAATCTACCTTCCTCCTGGCATTTTCCTGGAGCCGCTTCTTCGTGGTTCCATAGTCTTCCTTCCCCTTTCCCTCCAGGTCCTTTGTGCCTGTCTTGGATGAATGGGTGGCTCCTAATTCAGTCCCTTACTAGAGCCCTGAGGCTGTTGGTATCAAGTCTGCTGTCCTTGTCCTCAGAGGAGGGAACCCATGGCCGGCTCCTCGTGTTTTTCACCTACTTCACCCCGGCCCTTCTTTCCACCAGGGCACCCTGACCGCTCAGGGGAAGCTGCTGCAGCAGGACACGTTCTATGTGATTGAGCTGGATGCGGGCATGCAGTCCCGGACCAAGGAGAGGCGCGTGTTCCTCTTTGAGCAAATTGTCATCTTCAGTGAACTGCTCAGGAAGGGATCCCTCACCCCGGGCTATATGTTCAAAAGGAGCATCAAGGTGAGGATCCGGTGGGGACGAGAAGGGACAAGCAAGAGCCAAATTTGGGGGAGCTGCTTCCCTAAGACACAGGCGCTGGAATAAGTGAGGATCCAGAACATTGAAGATCTTTCAGCCTAATAAACTTCAATCATGAAGGTTGTATATCTGAGAAAAAGTGACAGGCTGAGTGCCCATCTCTAGCAGCATCCTGCAGGTTCTCCAGGATCATGTCATTCACTCAAAGACAGAAACCAAAGTATTCAGCTACTAAATCCAGGGCACAATTTTGGAAAAGTCTCCTGAAATATAAACTTTGATGAACCGTAATATGTTGTTGATTTTTATTAAACCACTTGACTATTGAAAGGATCAACTTGGTGTCTTCCAGATGAATTACTTGGTCCTGGAGGAGAACGTAGACAATGACCCCTGCAAGTTTGCGCTCATGAACAGGGAGACTTCGGAGAGGGTCATTCTGCAGGCTGCCAACGCTGACATCCAGCAGGCCTGGGTGCAGGACATCAATCAAGTCTTAGAAACACAGCGGGACTTCTTAAATGGTGGGTACTGGGCCTGGCCTCTAGTAGGGCCATTTTAGGGGACCCCATTCATCTGAGCTCATGGTGAGTTATGAGCCCAGATCACATTTTCTATGGACTCCAACTTTGTGGTTTTCAGAAATACTTTGTTTAGAATCTTTCTGAACCTGAATACGCAAGTGAGGAACAGATGGAGCATTATAAAGAAGCCCCATCTTTCCAAAAGAAGGGATGTTGTCTTATAGCCGACACATAGGCTATGGGCCTGTGACCACCATTACCAGCTGGTAATAATTGGGGCAAAAGTCTGAGACGGGCACATCCTCTTTCTTTTAGAGGCCATCCATGAGGTGTCTTCCCATTTGGCGGCTAATGGCTGGTACTCTCACAAGTTTTCTAGTGTTATCTAGAGATAACTGGGAGATAGGCAGATCTGTTCAAGTCCCCCGGCTCCCTCCCCAAGACCCCAACAGTGTGAGAGCCTGGATCAGTCATCTTGCTTGCTGATTAGCACTCACAAATGAGAGCTGATTGCACTCTAAATTTCAGTAATACCTTGAAACTTCCCAGAACAAATTGGTGATTACGCATTGAATGTAGATCTCTGTGGACCCTGCAGGAGTCCCCTAATGGGCGATGTGAACTGAAATGAAATGGAATTGCCACCTCCTTTACATTTATTTATTTTTACTTCCCACTGGGATTTTCTTCACTTTGAGTTTGCGTGGAAAAGATGTACAATTTTTAAACTAGTGCTGATCTGCTGAGTTGATAAGCTCAAAAGTCTCTCTGAGCAGATATGGAGCTTGAAGTTGAAGGCAAAGTGTGACCAGTAACAAAGTAAACCTGAAGACTCAACAAGCACATGGTTCTGTATGAGCATGTGTGTGCGCGCGCGCGCACACACACACAGGCCCACCCTCCACTGTGTCACCTCTTCTTGCCCATACTGGAATCTGGACTCTTCCAAAAGATGCAAATAGAGCATTTGTTGGATGTGTAGCATGGATCTAAATACTATGTGGAAAGATTAAAAGTGACATACTAGTTGAGGACATTGGCAAGCCATGACGTTTCCCTGGAGCTCAGTTGGCTCATTTTGTGAAAAGGAGAAATGATGTACTTGGCCCATGCTGGCATGTACCATCGCGTGCCAGCAGTTCTGGAAGCAGAAAAACATGGTACACCTCCCTACAGTATCAGTTTTACTCCATGATAAGAGATTTAACACATTGTGTTTATTTTACAGCAAATAAAAAGCAATGATATAGCACGATGCCAAGACTTTTAAAGATAGAACATAAGACTTGAAAGCAATTTCACACTCATAGATAGTATTTTTGGATCATGCCCCTTGGTTCCCCAACTGCAGAATAGTTTGGTAAAAAAAAAAAAAAAACCTACACTAAGTGATCTCTAGGGTTCTTTATCACTCTAGAAGTCTAAAATTAAATACCAGGCCAACCCTGAGGGATAGTAATGAAAGTTGTGAATACTTTATGGTGTCTGAATATACAACTTTGAAATAACAAGTTAATAAAATAATCTTATGCAAAAATATGTGCATATATAAAATATATTCATTAAATTGCATTATATTAGGAATTTCTGATTGTAAGCTGGAATAATGAGGTTTTTAGGTTCATTAATTCAGGACAAAAGAAAAATAAGGTAGGACAATAAATTGAAACCAGAAATAATTGAAGTGACAATAACGGCTGCCATATATTGAATCCTTTCTCTGTGCCAGGCACGATGCAAAGCATTTCACATGTGTTCTCACATTTAATCCTCGTATCAACATGGAAAAGTAAGGACTACTATCCTGTATTTTTCACGTGAGGAAAAAGAGACTCAGAGAGGTTAAGAAACTTGTTCTAGGTCACAAAAATAAGAGGTGATAGAACAAGCACTTGATCCCAGAACTGTATAACTTAAAATTAGTCTCTTAACCACAGAACTGCAGTATAGTTGCTATGGTAGAGCACACATTTATCCATGAGCTCCCTAGTAAACAAAGCAAAGAAAGAAACAGGATCAGGCATAAGACTGTTTCCATCAGCTGGAAACAAACTCTGTCAGAAGATGCACGGCTTCCCTGATCCTAAAACCTAAGTTATGCATATTGAGGCTGATGGAAGAATACCAGTCTCTGTGTAGCTTATTTAAGAAGACATTACTATTTTCAAACATGTTAGCACAGTTGTTGCATATAATCAGGTAATTGATTCAGGAGGTCAGTTTGACAAGTCCTGCTTCACAGCTCTTTGCTATCAGTTGGGTTGTCGGAAAAGTCATGATGTATTTTTTCTGTTTTTTTGTTGCAAAAATGCGTCATGACTTTTCCAACAACCCAATACTTAAAACTAGGAACTGCATTTTTCTTTGGTCATAGCCAATGTTTCAGACCTTTCTCCTAATTTTAGTGAATTATGGAGCTATTACTGAGCAAATTATCAATACCTAAATATTTAATGCCTACAGAACACTCCCCAGGGAGAAAGGCTGAGCTCTAGCAGGAGCCTGTTCTATACTTTGACACACTCAAGAGACAAGGATGTGACGATGGACCAGGGCCAGGCTTTTAGTTACAGAAGCAGGTGCAGGCATCTCAGAGTCCATCTTTCCCTCCTGAGATCTTAAATAGAAAGAAAGTGTGACCCTCTGTTGAGTCCTATTGAAGTACATACCAATCACTATAGAAATATCCTTATAACTGAAAGTTCTCGGGGCTCCAGCTGTTAACCCACTTAAATATTTGTGATAGTGACTACTGATAAAAACTGACATAACCAGGCAGCCCTTAAACTCATTGTTACACAATTTGACCACTTCAGCTTTTGCCTGGCTGACCACTTTAGGACTCGGACCTTGAAACTTTGTTATCTTAAATTCAATAAAACAAAGCCCACGTCTTTCCTTTCAAATCAGCCTTTCCTGTCTCCTTGACAACCATTCTCCCCATCTGCAAACCTGAGTGACCCTTGATTCTTGCCTTCTTTCCCCGCGTAGGCTGGGTCAGAGTCTAGTCTCTCTCCACACACCAAATCCCTTCCATATCATCGTCGCTGACCCTACCCTGGTTAGGCCTCTCACTGGTTATTATCTCGTGGCTTCTGAATCAGCCACTCCCCTCTCTTCTCCCAGCCGCTACAAGGTGAATGTTCTTCAGGTATGGCTCTGGTGACAGAATCTGGTTTTAAAACAGTCAAGTTCATTGAACCCAATCACTTTTCATGATCTTCAGAATTAAATGCAGGCTCGTTAGGCTTGGCAGAAAGATCTTTCACACTGTGGCACCTCCACCCTCCCCTATCTGTCTCGTCTCCCCTTCCTCCGTGGAGACCCATGGCTCTGTGCTCCAGGTAGCCTGACTCCATCCTGTTCCCCAGATGCACTTCACACTTGCTTCCTCCCTGCAGCCTGACAGCCAGCCCTCTTCCAAAGTTCCTTCTTACAACCACCTGTACCTATGTACCCACGCGCACACATACCACAGAGCCTGTCTCGCTCCTTTTGTACAACACTTTGTACCTCACAGATGGCACCATTTGGGTTTTGCATTTTCGTTATTCAGGTAGGTTTCTAAGTTCCTTAAAAACAAGGGTAGTGTCTCCCTCATGGATCCCTGTTGTACCTGTCACAGAGCCTGCACTGAAGGGGCCTCCAAACCTGGTGGGATTCCCACAGCTTAGAGTAACCACCTGCTCTTCTCCTGCAGCACTACAGTCGCCTATTGAATATCAGCGGAAGGAGAGGAGCACAGCCGTGATGAGGTCCCAGCCTGCTAGGGCCCCCCAAGCCAGCCCCAGGCCCTACTCCTCTGTCCCTGTGGGCTCTGAGAAGCCCCCTAAGGGCTCCAGCTATAACCCGCCTCTGCCACCCCTGAAGATATCTACCTCCAATGGCAGTCCAGGGTTTGACTACCACCAGCCTGGGGACAAGTTTGAGGCCAGCAAGGTAAGTGACAGCCCATTACTCCAGCCCTTATCCCTCTGGGGGCACAGTCTCAGGGCTCACGTTAGGAAGCTGCATCTTTTTATGCTGATCATTCTGGCGGGAATAGCCCACTGGATACAACCTAATCTCAATTACTTCTCTTTCTTCTCTGCAAATTGAGTGTGTTAGACCAGTTCCCCCTGGCTCAGACACTCTTGTGTTCAAGGGCTATTGCTATCTGCAGAAACTCGATACAAATATTAGGTATTATTGTAGTAGCAAGTCTGAAAACAGGCGATTTATCCCAAATAGAGGAGTTGTGGTGTAGATCATCTAAAAGTCAAAACTCTAGAGTTTAACACTTTGAAGAGATTGCCCTTTCTAATGATGAGCTGCTTAAGTGAGCTTATAGTTCTTCATCAACCGTTGGCTGATGTGTTAAGAAGTTGCTCATTTGTGTGTGAATGGGGACGCCAGCCATAGTTTAAACATTTATCATAGATAATCTATAATTCAAACATCACCATGGGGATAGCCATAGACTTAACTATAAACCCAGTCTACACAGTTATTTTGATCCTACAAGGTAGTAGGAACAAGAGAACAAAGGGGAAAAGTGCTAGATTAAGAGTCAGGTAATCAGGTTTCCATTCCAGATTCTGCAATTCACTCACTCTAGAGCCTCAGCAAGTTAGTTAATCCGATTAGGCCTCAGTTTCCTCTAGAACTCAGTGGGTCTATGAGTAGGAACATGATTTTTAACCTACATGTTCCGATTTTATACTTTCATTCTTTTTACTCAAATTACTAGATGATATTGATTTTTTTTTTTAATTAACTGTTAACATCTAAATTCAACTGTAACTGTACCGATCTCCTTCATCACATCACCTGGAAATGATTTTCCACCTGAAAAACACCCTGCCCTTGTGAATAAGTTGAAGTACATTGGCATTTTGTCAATCTTATTGAAGAATGTATGGCTCTCACCATGCTCTAGGAGGTAGCCACACCTCCCTGGGAGTTACAGGTCTGTCTAAGAGCAGCTTCTCTGGTGTAGAGTCAGTCACATGAAAAGGTCACTGGGGCAGGACTTCTTGTATTAATGAGTACAGGGGAAACTGGAGGAGTTCTGTTCTCGTAGGACTTGGGTCAGGGTAGGTCATGACCTTGTCTTTGAACTGTCATTGTTATCCTGTGTCAAGGAGGGTCAGAATATAGAGTACAACCAATGTTTTTCAAAAGAAAAAAAATGTATCAGAGGATTCGTGTTCTTTCCACCCCGGGGGTTATAACCCCTAACGTGACCTTTGCACAAACCTCACTCTGCCCAAGTGCTCGGGTATTCCTGTGCCAGTACCACGGTCTTCTTTCCCTTAGAGGATGCTGGCAGTAAGGATGGCATGCTGAGAAGGGGCTTCCAGGTGGAAGGTGTGTTTATACCTTTACCTAGGCATAGGTACTAGCTCTACCTATGCACCCTTGATTATAATAGTGTATGAAATAGAGTACATTTTTATAAAATATAATGTCGCTACTCAAGATAATCTTCTGCCTGCTATTGACCCTGCTAGTGGGAAGCTAGTGGCTTTTAACCACACGATAGGATGCAGAGCAAGCCTGTGTGAACCAGCCTTCTTGTGTATGTGTCCCTCTCGCCCCATCTCCCTGCAGAGTGACCTAGGAGGCTGCAATGGGACCTCGTCCATGGCCGTGATCAAAGATTACTATGCGCTGAAGGAGAATGAAATCTGTGTGAGCCAAGGTGAGGTGGTCCAGGTCCTCGCCGCCAACCAGCAGAACATGTGCCTGGTATACCAGCCTGCCAGCGACCATTCCCCCGCGGCCGAGGGCTGGGTCCCGGGTAGCATCCTGGCGCCCCTCACCAAAGCCATGGCGGCGGCAGCAGCAGCAGCAGAAAATAATGACGGGAGCATCAAGTAAGTGCCTCGTTGGCTTCCCCGGGAGAGGAGTATGTGGATTAAAACAATTCAAAAGCAAAAACAAAGAACACAAAAATGCAAACACACGGTAGGGAATTACTGCTGCTTAATCTCGACAGTGCCACCGGAACCAATGTTTGAGTGCCGGAGCCACACACAGCGTGGGGCATCCAGGCTGGATTATTCTGAAGTTTTGTTGTTGTTGTTGATGGTAGTGGCAGTGGTTTTTCTTTCCTTTTCGTTTATAATTTTGTGTTCTTTTTTTTTTCCCCTTTTTTCTTCCCCTTGTTAAGAAAAGAACCCTACTGAAACCCTAGGTGACAAAAGCATGCCTTTCGTTGCTCCACTTGACTCACCACAGGATTCACTGGACTGGACTTCTATTTATATTGTATTAAGTTACTGATATATATATATATATATATATATATATATATATATATATATATATATAATTTTTTTTTGATTGACACCAAAAATTACCTAAGCACAAATGTCAGACCTGTATAGGTCAGAGGCCCGCTGCTTCTCCCAGGAGAGAGGGAACTTTTTGGTTGTCTGTGGCAATTCCTCTGTACAGATTGTACCTTTTTTTTTTTTCTATTTCCCCCCTCCCTGTCACTTTAATATATGTTCATGGTAATTTGTAAGATATTTCTTTTCCTTATTTTGGTTGCGAAGACCCTTCCGAACACATTCCTGTATAAAAGTATTTTGCACTATTTAAAAAAAAACCCATATGGATGAAGTCAGGTTGTGCAATATAATGGAGAGTCACAATGTTCATCATTGTACCTGTAATGTAACTAATAATTTTAAATGTACTATTTTAAATATGTAAAATAAATTTTCACCATGAGCATGTTTTAATGAGGTTAAAGACTAGTTGACCCTTTTCCCCATTGCACTCTTCTGGGACTCTTAAATGTGCAAGTGTTTCTTCTTTTTTATTTTTTTTATTTTCTTTCCTTTTCTGTATTTTAGGAGTTGGTTGAATGCACTGGCAGTTTTTTCCTACACAAACAGTCACTAAAGCTCCAACGCCAGCCTTCCCTTCTAAGCAGCCCCTATTGGTTTTCTCTAACCTCTGAGATGAGGAACGAGGCAGATTGGATGCTGTCCAACTGGGCGACCCTGACGTAAATTAATGAGGAGTGCAGAAGGCAGTGTTTGGCTTGCATCCCTCACTGCTTTCCATGCCGTGTGGTCATCCGTGACAGCGGTGGAAGGAGCTGCCATAAGATATCAGAGCAGCGTCACCAACAACTGCCTCTTTGGCCCCTTCTCTAGCTCAGGCGATAGAGGCTACTGACCGCATTCTGGCCTTTCTAGGTAACCACGGGCCCAACTGGAAATCATTAGTAGCCCCTAACGTGTAAACAGGCCCAGTTCATTTTCATTCTAAAGACACCTGGCTTTAGTACTCTTTAAGAACACTTGGGAATAAAGGCCCTCAAAGCATTGAAGTTCTTATTAATCAGTGGCCTTACAGAGCTAAGTCGTAATAATTCGTGATCTACTTATCCAGGCACTGAGCATGTCTCTCTTCTCGCCTTTGGGTCTTTTGGCCACTTTTTGACACCTTCCATGGGAGGGAAGGGAGGAGGGGTGTCAGGCTGGGTGAGAGAGAACAGATTTAAATACAAATTGGTAATTTTGGTTCCTTGCACAAGGCCTGGTAGGGGTGGAACTAGAGTAACTGACTAAAAGTGGTTGCCGTTTGTCAATGAAGGACACTATGCCCTCCCCAGGGCCTGCTATGGCCACAGAGGTCAGACAGAGTTGGTATGATGCCTACAGGATAAATGTCACTGAAACCCTGTTTCCACATCAGTCCCCGGGCTTGTGGCCAAGAGATGGAAGCTCCCCAAACCATGATGATGAGTTCTTCTGGAAAGTAGAATATGAAATTGAGCCTGTCCTGCCACTGGTACTGCTCTGAGCCTTTCTTCTGAACATCATTTGTGGCATTTCTAGTTTCTCATCAAGCATACTGAATAACCCAGAGGGTGTAATAAACATAAGAACACACCCCCACACTCATACGCACACACACTGTGCTGTCTGTCCAGAAGTCTGTCCTTGAGTTTCCCTGACTCAAGATGTTCTCAAAAAGACCTAGGGCCATGGATTTGGGGGTAAAGTCTGAAATTAACAGAGTGAGATCATGTACGGTTAACTTCCATGACTGGTTCTCACTCAGCTACAGCAAGTGGAACGAGGAAGTGGTATGCAGGGGATCCCAGAGAGCCTGGCTACTTAGGGGCTACAAGAGACAGTCTGGCCAAGAGATTCTTGCCTTTTAAAGGAGGCCGCTTTCCCCCCAAAATTCGACACCATGACTATGATTGCTCTTGCCTACTCAGAAAGGTTGGTTGTTGACCGTATGTGTCAGTGATAAATATTTTTTGGAACATCTTCCTCGGAACATCCTAAAATTCCTGATATGTGGAATTTTGTGGAAGGAATGCTACATATTTTTATGTATCCTCTTTCCTCCTAAATCTCATATGCTCCTCTCTTCCCACTCTCCCTTAATGAAGGCCCTTTTCATTGAGCCCTGTCTGCATAGGTGCACATTTGACAAGGAGACACTGAAGGGAAGCCAACCTCACTTATTCCAGACAATAGTAGGGCTTCACCTAAACTCTGACCACACCTGAAATTGATGATGCCTGCCCAGGGCCACTGATGTGCATGTGACTTGGCTTTTAGTGTCTTTGTCTTTGAGTCCTAACATATCAAAAGCTCGTCTCTGAGCTTCTCTTTACAGGTCTGTGAAGAAGTAGCTTCCAACCAACTCATGGGAAAACAGAAGTTAGAATAATGTGAAAGGGCATTGCTGCCCTCACCTCCCTGAGAACACATATTGGGTCTTCCCCCAACAGGAAAACTCTAGGACCTCTTAGTGGTTGGAAGAGCCCTATATTCACAAATACTGAGACATAGACCAAAAAACCCTTTGTCCTAAAATATCCAGATAAATCAGTGGTGCTCAATTGTTCATTAAGTCAAATACCCCAGAAAAAGCTGATCTGTACTACAGGGGGAGTGGTCACAGTCCAAATACAAATAATGAGATGGAAACCTCAAAATCATTATTTTGGATCTTGATATCTGGTTCTGGGAAAGTGCCATTAGCTTATGCACTACAGAATATACATCTTTAGTCTTTCCTGTTTACCTCCACTCCCCCTCACCCTCCCCAGCCCACCCACCGTGCTTCAGCTATCCACCATACCCTTCAGGAAGGGAATTCCTCAGGCTGGTAAGGCCTTATCGGTATTGTACAAAAACTTCCCTTGGTATAGTATAATAACCCAGTACTCATATTTTTCTCAAATGCTACACTCAACCTTGCACATCTATCAGGCAGGGTCAAAGTTCATTTTCATTCACTTCCGGTTGGAGGTGAGGTCAGCTGCCGGCCACCACAAGAGCTGGCGTGCAGGTTTTGGGGCCTCTGAAGCTGGGGCATGAATGGAGCACCTCACCTACTGACTCACCCACAGGTGGCGAGCCCACCCACCGCCTCACTCTGCCCTGACCTGCCATTTTGATTGGTGCATTTTTTGGTACAACAGGAAGTCATGTTCATGGCATACTCTACGCATGAGAAAGCGGGCGGAAGTGGAGAACACGGGTAAAAATGAAGCCACAGGGCCTCGTAAACCCAAGGATATTCTGGGCAACAAAGTCTCTGTTAAAGTGAGTAAGGCGTTCTGGAGCTGTGCCCCACCTCTCATCTACTCCCACCCTGCAGCATTCTCACGAGGCAACATGGGTGGACGGGGACTTTTTTTTCCCAGTGCGGGGACCAAAGGGGAAGTAGTTGAACAGGATTTTGCATGCAAGATCAATTTATTTTTTATTTTTTATTTCTCCTGGCAACTTCAATTCAAATAAGTAAGTATCTCTTCTTTTTTTCTTTTATGCCTTTATACCGTGCAGATGTTTTATAGCAAAATTATCTGCAGCATTATTTTAGAAATGCAAGGTGCTTGATTCATACTAAATTTCTCAAAGCTGCTCATTCTGTATCCGAGGTTTGAAAAGACACACAGGGTAAAGAGATTAGGAGAGATTAGGGATGCTTTCCAAACCCTCAACCCTGTGAAGTCTGAGGTTTGGAATAAAAGGGCCACTGTGTCCTTGGTGAAGTTTCATTTCTTTTCCCCAGAATTCAGATATCACCCTCAGGCCTGTGCATGGCAGGGAAGGGAGGCACATTGGGGAAACCCAAGTTCCTGCTTTGTAACAACCCACCTATCACCCTGAGCTCACTGATGCTATGGTTTGGCAGATCCTTGCTGCCCCCCCACCATCTTGAAACGGTGTGATCTGTTTTATTTACGTTGGGCCTCTGAAAAGATCTGCCTCTGAACAATAGAGATGAGACTGCTGATGTTTAATTGTGTTCTAACGTGTGATTATCTAATCTGGCACTTTTTTTTCCCCTTCCTGAGCAAAATGAGAACAACTGAAACTCATTCTAACGTCCTTCTTGGGGAAAAGAAATTGTATTCTGTCCTTCACCCCTCATCTGGGAAGGCCAGCCTCACTGAAGACCACAGTTTAAATTCAACAGCACTCATGCTTCATTCGGTTGCTTCCATTGCTATTTTCCTGTGAGATGAGCGGCTGTACATGATTCCAGCCTCCACTCCTGAAAAGAGCATGCTGCCGCCCTTGGTGATTCGCACCCTCACCTTAAAAGCACCTGGTGTTTTCTCGGCCCCATTTCCCATTGCCCATGCTTCTCCTAAGTTCTCCTCACGCTCCAGCAAAAGCTTCCTGTGTTCTAACTGTGTTCTCTTTCTTCCCGCTTCTTCATGCTGCCCATCAAGGAGACGAACAGTTCCGAGGAGTCAGAGTGTGATGATCTTGACCCTAATACTAGCATGGAGGTAGAGCAGCTATTGTTGTCCTATTTCATACAATGATTGTCTATTTTAATGTGTTCTGTGACAGTGACCTTACTAACGTGACCAGCCAATCAAGGACAAATGGTTATGTCAGGACATCTCTGGGTGTCCCATCCCAACTTCAAACAAAACAAAACTTAATTCAGTTCAATTTTAATAGAAAACTCAACCTAGATATCTTTTTAAAACCACAAACTTCTATTTCTCTTAAATGTTTGCTTGATATTTTTGTCTTTGGTGGGTTTGGGTTTATATAGAAAATATCCAGTTTCATTACTGGAAACTTAGAACACTTTTTTTTTTTTAACTTGGAAAACTGCATTATAAAGAGCGGTTGGTTCCCAGCTAAAAGTCAAGAACCCATTAGTTTTAGTTTTTCCCACTTTTGTTTATCCCTCCTCCCTTTTTCCTCTTTTTCTCTCCTCTGTATCCTCTTTATGTGTTTCTTCTACTGGGACTTACTTCTCCCTCAGGACTCCAGCAAAATCATGTTTTAAGTATGGTTTTGTGGAGACCTGGCACCTAGTCACTGTGTACAGCTGGCTGATAGCAAATGAGGAATGACTGAGGCAACCCCAGCACCCGCCTTTGCCCAGCCTCCAGGGGTCTTGGGCAGTGGCTGTGCCCACCATGAAGGAGAAGAAGCTTTGGAGATAGCCTCCCTCCTGGAGCCTTAGCAGAGGCCTCTCTAGTGACAGGGACACTGAAACCTGCCCTGGGAACTTTCTCACACTCTAGGGTTACAGGGATGTGGGAGTGGAACCCACACCTCCACCAAGAACATCGAATCGACTTCCAGCTCCTCCTAGGCTAGAAACTACTTGGGATTATACAAGCAGGACTCTCACATGGCTTACCACTGAGTGACGACCATTCTAAATTTACAAACCCTGGAGAATTCGAGTAAACTTGGAGCTGGTGTTCCCTACCATTTTGTCTTTCAGAGTTAATTGAAATGCTTTTCTCCACGTCTGTGCCTCCATTTCCAGTAATGGATAAAAGTTTAGATTGTTCCTCTAAGTACAAAATAGAAAATTTAAAAAAAACAAACTTTTTATAGCCCTAAGCTTTTCACTTAACTAGGTGGATTTTTATTGTTCTTATTCTAATTTGACCTAATCCCAAAGAAATCCACCACCATATTATGACAACCACCACAAAACCCAAGGAAGACCATGCAGCCTAAGATGGGGTAAGTCAGCTGTGGAAGACACCAGTTGAGCTGCACTGGGCCAGAGACGAGTGGTTGAAAGTGGGAGTTTTGCCAAGATCAAATAGTCCCCTGTGGATGTGGGTATTGCCACAGAGCTAAATCTGGCAGGTGTGGGTCAGTGCAATTCTCCACTGGGAGGAAGTAGATACTGCATTCATAGCCTAAATGTATCTTAGAGAGAGAGGAGGCTGGGGGAGATTTGTGGCTCCATGTTCCTTGCATTTCACAGGATAGGCACCAGCTCCTGTGGGGCCCACACCTGTCAGCTTATAGATGCCTGGTGGCCCCTGTATCTCCAGCCTAAGTGTTACTGGCATGTATCAGAGATGTCATCGGCAAGTAGAGAAAGGCCAGGCAGAGGGAAGGGAAAAGCCTGGTGTCTGTGTTCCAGAATATAATTTGGGACCTTTTTCAGCTCTGGAGCACTAAGAGGAGTGACTTTCCCACTCTTCTCTTTAAAGGAAGAAGTGAGCACAGGGTGTTGCGGGACCAGGTGAGGACCACACACTGAGAAGGTTAACCGATGTCATCAGATGCTCCATTGTACATTTAGATAAGCGGAAGTGTGTGCACACGTGCACATACACACATCTCAGCCCTGCTTTGTGAACTGCACACATTTCTAAGTTTCTTATTCATCCAAGACTTGCAGCCTTTGCATGGCCTGAGTGAGATGAGACGGGTCCCAGGGAAGTGCTATGAGGCACATAAGCAAAGGCATTAGGATGTTAATGCTGAACAGAGGAAAACCAACAATTGTGTTGATACATGTCCGAAAAGTTTTCAGATATAATAGTTGAGGCAGAAATTTCAATTAACTGGGACTCTTCAAGGGGTATGTGGTTGGAAACTGCAAATATTCTGGTTAATCCAAGGTTCCTTGTAGCAGGTGTGCGTGCAGCCCTTGTGTATTCCTTATGGTTTTTCTAAGCATCAGCGAACTCCTCTGAACGGTGTTGCCACCTTGAACTTAACTCTGAGCACATAAGCAGGTGCTGAAGGAAAAGGAGGCATCTTGGCACTGCTAGTTTAGTATTTTCGGACACAAATAACAGATAAGACACAGAAAGTCTACCTGATAAACGTGAGTTGAGAATGTTCTCAAGGGGTTGGTAAGTAGACCTTGATTGCAATGTCCATTGCAGAAGAAAATGGCCACGGGTGCATATGAAGAGAGCTATACCTTAAAGACGTGGCTTGAGAAACAGATAGGAGGGCCACCTCTTGAAGGCCTCTCACTGCTAAAATGATAGCTTTGGGCATCGTTACCAGGCCCAGCCTGCTCCCCTCGCCTCCCACTTGGCTTCTGAACCTGCTTACTGTAATATGTGTTGTTTCTTTGGGAACATGTCCCTGTGCCCCACTGAGCTGAAACTGCAGCTCCCGTGGCCTGTGCTACCAGCCCCTGTGCCTGGAACCCCAGCTGACATCTGGCCCTGTGTTCTCTGTAAACTGCTCCGTGCTAGGTCTCCAAATGCTAAGACCTGCTCTGCTGACTGCCTACCCTTGACCTAATGCCAGCCTATTGATTCCATTCCTAGCTGTATATAGGCTCTTAATCTCTACCTCCAAATGAATATCACTACCCAAACATTCCTTACTTTTATTCAATTGGTGGGTTGAAGGGTTCCTATAAGGAGCAGTTTCCTGGGATCTTTGCTTACACACCAGCTGCTTGCTACCCTGAGGGCTGGCATATGTTCCACCATACTGTTTTATGGAGATAGATAGGCACATCCTTGAAAGCTAATTAAGATGAAAATAAGTCACCTTGAATCCTAGGAATCTGATGCACAAAGCTTTCCAAGACCACCCAATTACCTAAAGGAGGCAGTTTGCTTTAATGTTTACATCCTTTTTCTTCCACTGTAGAGACATACTTATGAATATACTTAAGTACAACCCCCACTCCCTGCTCCCAGCACCACCAGCCACACCATCAGCTGCTGCAAGATTGGCTCCAGGTCTATGCAACCCCTTCGTGGCCTAGCGCCCACTTCTCTCCTGCTAATCCGTGACCACACTTCAGAGACTGTTCTAAATATGACAAGGATCTGTCCACAGTTCAGCGTACTTCACCATGCACTGATTACACTTTGGAAGTAGGAGTGGAGGGAGATGTGATAGATGAGAGAAATGTTACTACATGGAAGAAGAGTCAAATCGGGCCTAGAATCTAACACTAGGCTGTCTTGGGAACAAGTTAATATGGATTCATTTTTCCATTACAGCTTAGCCTGCTCGTTACCTTTTATTGACAAGGAGTGGAGCTGTGATGGTGGGCTGGGCACCACACACCCACCTGCCAGCTTCTCAGCCCTGCCCCTGCCCCTGCATGGAGCCAGGGCTCGAGGCTCGAAGCTCAGCATCTGCCCTCTGAGCCAATGCGCATCTCTGAGAAGTGTGGGTCCTTTCTGAGATGTACTGGATTTCTCTTAGAACCCCAAGCTAAGCAGATCCCCACCCCCATGCCACCTCTGAAAAGTTGTCTGAGGATTGTGTCTATGCCTGGGTCTTTGCACCCGCCCTCCAACCCCAGCACTGCCCTTGCCTGCCTCATACACTAGGGCAGGAAGGCCCGAACCAACCTTTCAGACTTGGGCTTTTGTCTTCAGGGACTAGGATTCTCAGCTCAGCGTTTAGATCAAGCCCAATTAATTATATGCATCTGAACTTTTTTAAATGTCTAATACCACTTTTAGCAGAGAAGGTCAATCCATCCAAGTAAGAGGTTGTCAGGATTCCAGAAAGACTGCTTCTCTGTCCCAGCCAGTTAATAATGGAACATGACTGGATGCTGACATGACCCTTGGTCCGAATGCCAGCCACGAGATATTTAGCTCAGGGGGTCACTCTCTACAATAAGAACAGGGTTGGGATCTTGTAGGAGAGGTTCTGAGAGGTGGGGGAGAGAAAACATTTAGAAAGGTGAAGCAAATTTAGGAGAAAATTTCCAATTAGGGTAAGAATCACAGACATTCAGAGTTGACGGAAACTTGGAAACCTTTAATTAGCCCCACCCCCTTCATGTATTTTTTTTTTAAGATTTTATTGGGGAATTGGGGGAGGGGAACAGTACTGGGGAATTGGGGGAAGGGGAACAGACAAGTTGCTGTCCTTTTGTTCTTCAGTCTAGTTGTGGAGGACATCGCTTCACTGGCCCATGTTGGTATCATCATTGCGCTCTTCCCGGGTGAGGCAGATCGGTTGCCGGCCTCTGGACAGCCGCTCATGGCAGCTCTTGGCAGCTCACACCAGCTGCCAGCCACTCACGCTGGCTGCCGGCCACACACAGTAGCTTATGGCAGCCCACTGCAGCAGGGGCTGCAGCCTGCGCCGTTGCCAGCGACTCATGGCAGCCTGGTTCCAGGTCGAGCTGTTGTTCACCATCACTGGGCGCAGCATCACTGGACCATGTGGGATCTGAACCGGGGCCCTGCTGCTCAGAGCTGGCATCCCAAGCCAACTCTTAACCAACGCACCACTCGGCTGGCCCCATGTATTTTTTTTATTGTGGTAAAATATACATAACATAAAATATACCATCTTAACCATTTTTAAGTGGCATTAAATACCTTCACAAGCTGTGTAATCATCACCACTATTCATTTCCAGACCTTTTCATCATCCCAAGCTGAAACTGTACCCGCTAAACAACTCCCCATTCCCATCCCCCCTCCAGCCCTTTGGAAGACTTTTACAAGAGGAAACTCAGGGAGAGGAAGTGGTAACTTTCTGTTCAAAAATGAGAAAGTGAAAGGCATTATCT